CCCCAAAACCCCAAAACCCCAAAACCCCATTAATCATATAATTTTGAATTTAAAAGAGATAAAATAAATCATTAACTGCTATGTTAGGGGTATAATTTAACTTAAATTATTTGGATTGGATTGATTAAGACTTAAAAACAAATAAATATTTATTCTTCATATAAATGGACTAATGTAGAGAATTACTCTCTAGGTATACCTAGGAGTACGCCCTTGATGAATCAACTAAACTTAAAGCAGAAGAGCTCTATCGAGATTACATGAACAAGACTTCTGCTTAGTAAAATGTAGGTTAATAGCTCCCCATTTTCGATTCCCACAATGAGCCCATTTCCCAATCATTATTATTATAATTTGTCCGCGCTCGATGAGACCGCAATAATTTATTTGAAAACAAACAGACAAGTATAACCTTTTCTATAGCTGAATAATGAGAACTATCCACACTTAGTTATGAGAAACGCCATTCTGATCGCCTCGAGATGCTAAGAGTACAAAACTATTGACAACATTACTGTTAGAGGAACCGACTTGTCAATAACACAGTTCCTTAGAGGTAGTCCAGAAATAAGGTAAGAATCCAAACTATAGGTCACAATATATACTAAAATTTGAGGGACTTGCAAATTTCCTCTTTTTCTTAAATTTTTTGATTCTTAATATAATTTAGCATTGATGATTTCATTTACATCATGGGTCATTTTTTGGAAATAGTCAAGCTTGATACCTTGGTTGTTAATGATTGCAAGATAATAATTGAGAACTTTGACTAAGCCATCACAGTGTTCAATAAATTTGAGGAACTTTGGGCCAAGATCGGCATCAAAGATAAGTAAGGTTACAAGATTTTATTCAATCTTAAAGTAGATCTCTAGAAAAGGCAAGCGCTGATAAAATCAAGAAGATAGCTTGGCTAATATTTATAATAGGCAAGGTCAGAATTCTTTAAAGAAGAGGTGATCTCGTAGAATTCGCCTATTTACTAGTAGCAGTACTCATACTTATCATACAACACTTGCCTTAGGATGTTTCATGTGATTTAGTCTCAAGTAAATTTTTGTTACTCACTCAATTCAACTTTTAGATTTCAAAAGGGATAATGGTCACATTGAGAATCAATAAGAGATATCAATTGCCTTCCAAAAACATCTCATAAATTACTTCAAGAGTACTATCAACGCTCATGATGAAGACCCTATAATAGTTTCTAAAGAATCAATATAAGAAATGCTGACTAAAGTAAGTACAAAGATATTCAAGTGCAAGCTATGATTTTAAATCACACTCTATTTTCCATCTATTTTACTGAGGCTTATCATTCATTTTAGTTGAAACAAAGAGACATTATAAAAGGAATCACAGCAGAATCAAGTCACAAAGAACTATAAATAATGAATCTCGATATCTTATGTCAAATACCTTCTAAGTGCTTGCATGGAATCTTAAATTCAGACAACTTGATTGGAAACTTCAAAAAGCTGGATCAAATTTATCAGTAAAAGTTATAGCCTACTGAATTAGACGATAGACACTTTATCAACACTGACACAAGGAATCTCACTCCATGCAAACTCTCCCCATTTGCTAGACATAGTGTTTTTAATTAAAAACAAGTACCAACAACTCCTTAAAAGCAACTTAGTAACGAAAATACTCTTGAGCCTCCTAATAAAAGAGTCCTTCACTCTTCAAGGTTACTAAATTATGATTAAAATAACTCTAGTAAAATGGAGAACGCAGCTTCTATCTCACTAGAGTAGAAACTCAATGAGATTAAATTCCCTTAAAGAGTGCCTAATTCTCCCTACTCTATCAAATAAATTACACCAGCTACTCCAATCAGTATGATGATGGAGTTGAAAAACTGGTTAAAGCAAAATTTGGGGAGAGTTTGCATGCTGCCAGAGCTCGGAGTTTCAAAAGTAGTTCATGACTTTATCTAACCATCAAACTTAGAGTAGAAGTCTTAAGTGATCCAATATGTCTCAAACGAAATTGATAAATATTTGAAGCAAGTAATTGAGCTTTTAGCTGACAGAGAGGGTAAAAAAGAAGACTAAATGGTGCTAGATACTTTTTATCACTAATATGGAAGTGATACCAAGTAACTTACCTTCAGAATACTAGATGAGCTCCTTATCAAGGAGTATAGAAGTTCGTAAGCTCAATAGAGAACAACAGATTTCTCCCATCTGCTAATGAAGGACATTTTCTTGAAATCAGTCTTCGTTTGTGCCCTTGAATCAGTCTTTTTTATTTATATGGTGAAGAGAGTTCAAGTTCATGATATCCTCCCTTTGATTAACTTAAAGGCTTTCGATCTTTGGAGACTGCTAAACAGCTTCTTGAAATTCGATCAATAAATGCCGAAATCACTAAATGATCACTTCAGAGATATTGAGATAAGAATTGTTAGTGAAGCTGCTTGGGCTAATGGATCTCCAGTAGTTGAAATAATAAGGCAAGTGTTCTTAGAGTAATAGAAAAGCATGTAAAATGCAAATCAATAAAATAAATCTGAGGAGGAATAGATGAGACTAAGATAAGAGTAGATCATGCAATCCTATAACATGTTTTTCAAGAGAGTATTGCATTTAGCAGCTTAAAGAATCATCGATTTAGGGACTTAATTGTAGCTAAGCGATGATGTGCTTGAGAAGGTTTGGATTATAATGAAATGCTAGCTAGGACATGAACCTCAACTACTAGTCAATAGACATCTTGATCAATTTGTAATGTGCACAATTTACTGTGTTTGTAAGATCTAACCAGAACTGCAAATTTCATTCAATAATATCATCAATAAGTACGCTGAAATCTAGAAAAGCTAAAGAAACTTTGCCAATATATATCTTCAAGTCTTATCTTCCAATGGAGAGAGAAAAGATATCATCTCATTTTACAACGAAGTATATATCAAGATAATGAAGGAGTATATTACTTTCATCAAGCCAAACTTTGCTCAGCAACAGTAGCAAGCTAATATCATCTCAAATCCTAACATTCCATTGGGATCAAGAACACCCTAGATTAGTAGGAATTAAATTTTAACTCCATCTATCAATAAACCTTCTATCAAAGTCCTTTGCCCTGAGTCCCCATTAAAGTAGAGCTTACCTCCTCCAATCATGCAATACAACACCATCTTCTAATAGAACCCTAGATCTAATCATTAGACCCCTCTAATACCTCAACGCTACATGTAATCTCCTCTTCATCCACATATGACTCCAAGAACTGTTTAGCTTTACGCCTTCGGAGAGACTCCCACTGGCGAACTAGACAAAATCTCTAGCTTGTTCAACAAAAGTAACCTTTAAGGTGCTTAAAATCAATAAAACTCCTTCTAATAACCCCCTCCTATTGGAATGAACAACAACAACAGTATGGCCTTCAAGAATTCCTTGATCCATAAGATAAAAAATAAGAAAGGAGACGGAACAGGGACTAGTGGTATGGCTGAACCACAGCTTATGCCTACTATCAATAGAAACAATCTGAATAAGATTGGGGCTGGACTTTTGAACGAGCCTAAATTAAACAAGCCCTTGATAATGCCAACAATCAAGCCATAATAATAATTAAATCAGTCCTAATAGTAATAGAGGAAGAATTCAGATTCGTAGATGATTGAGCCCTAAATCATGATGACTACTACAATAAAGCAAGAGAAGGATGACAAAATTCAAGATAATGGTATCCCCAGTACCACTAACTCAGCAAACATCACCATCAATAATACTTAGAGTCTATAAAAATGAGCATATAAGTATAAATATCATAATTCATCTAAATCGTTATCGTCGTATAAACGCCTTAGATTAGACGTCTTTTTTTGATAAAGTGACTTAAGAGTCACTTTTTAACTAACAACTAAATATTTAATTTCTAATAAATTTACCTCAAATTTAATCCCGCATAATTTTCACTTAATAATTTTAAATGTTAGCTGATTAAGAGATGAAGCAAGTGCAAAGAGGTTTGTTTATTGTCTTTGAGGGACTTGACCGATCTGGTAAATCCACTCAATCTTAAAGAGTAGCCAAATATTTCTAAGAAGAGCTCTAAAGAAAGGTCTAAAACATTTCTTTCCCAAGTAAGAATTGAAATTACCCTAAAATGAACTATAGATCGAGACACAAAAGGAGGCAAGATTTTAAATGATTATTTGCAAAATAGAGAGTAAAAGTTGAATGACAGAGCTGTGCATGTGCTCTTTTCATTCAACAGATGGGAGATGCAGCCAGAAATAATAGAAATATTGAAAAATGGTACTAATCTTATCTGTGACAGATATGCTTTCTCTGGAGTCGCTTATTCTGCAGCAAAGGTAATTTTCGATAGGTTCTGACCAGTACTTAGGGTTTGGACTTTGAGTGGTGCAAAAATAGTGATAGAGGATTGATCTAGCCAGACTTGACATTCTTTATTGATGTAAAGCCAGAGACAATCTAGCAGAGAGGGAACTTTGGTGATGAGAGATATGAGAGATTTGAATTCTAGTCGAAGGTGAGCAAAGTCTATGACAGTTTTAAGCAAGATTACAGGGACAGCAAGCACTGGATTACAATTGAAGGAGAAAATAAAACTAGAGAGTAGGTCACTGAGGAAATTCTTAATAAAATAACTGCTTATGAAAACGATGTGATGCCCCTTTTAGATTTCGATAAGATGGCTGAGTCTCTCTTTATGGAAGGCAAGCAATGAAAAATGTATTGAATAAATTAAGTTTTATTAGAGACCACAATCTCTATGATAGTATTTTATGATTTCAAATTAAGCATTTTAATTTCATGATTTCTTAAGTCAATTGATTTTAGCTATTGTGATAATTTTAATTTTTCTTATTTTTCTGAGACCAATTTAATCCGATTCTTCTGTACATCTTATTAATTAAAAATTTAACTTTAATCATGGAAAGAAGACGTTCTCCCTCATAAATCATAGAAGATATCAAAAGTCAAATTGTATGCTATTCTAAGGCAGCAAAGACTACAGAGTAGATGTATGGAAATCTGTAAAAGAAAGAATACTAGGATATTAGTTGGTCAAAACCTAAGACACCAGAGCAATACTTTGTAAGTTCTTATTTATAGATTAATGCATCAAATCATATTTTATCAGAATGTGAAAGAGTCAACTTACGATAAAATTGATAAAGTAAAACAAAACAAAAAACTAGTCTAGGAGAATAAAATACTCTCAAGCATGTTCAGAAGTATTGATAGAGAGACTAGGATTGTAAGATAAATTATCTCATTATATTCATTAATAAATAGAAAAATGTTGATCCTAAACTTGCCATTCCTACATTGAATTAACTTGGGAATCCACCTAAATTGTAAGTATAGATCTCATATAAATTAATCTGAAAATAGTTGGACTAAAGACAGTTGCAAAGTACATTTCAGTACTCTAGAAAGAAAAGATCTTAATGAATCTAGAAGATTAAAAGAGATGTAAATTAATTTCATTTTTTTACTAATTAATTTCCTTAGAGGTGAAATGGAATAAAGTAGGATTGAGTATGAGCAAGGAGTTTCATAATTGAAACGAAATAAGAGTGTGATGTCCAAAAGTATCAACTTTAATGGTTCAAAGAGTCGAATAGATGATCATGATGATGAGCATAATGACACAATTAGAGATCTCAAAGATCATTTATAAGATGCACCAAAGAATCCTTTGACAATTCATAAATAACTAGGGTCAAATTTGAATAAATCCCAATCTTAGAAGGCACTTCCTGATAACAGTAAAGTAAATATTTCTAGATTGAGTAGCTTGCCTGATCTTAACTTGGAAAGGAGTGGAGTTCAGCCACATATTCAGAACTTTAAGTTCAGTCGGTAAACCAAAAGGAAGCCAATAAATGATCTGGATGTAAATGAAAATAGATTTGAAAATATGGAATTGTTTCCAAACTCTCTAGCTAAAAATAAAAAACTATTTTGGAATATTAAAATGGAGAAGTACAAGGAGAGAGACACAACATGGGTAGAGAAAAATGCACCTCAGCTTTCGTATAATTAGGTTGAGCTAGATAAATTCAAATTTTAAAAATCATACCAGCCTATGATTTTCTCACAGCATAACACAAACAAAAAGCATCATTTTATTGTTGGAAGGCCGTTTTGAGGAGTAATCGTATTATTTAGTAATATATTTCTGAATTTCAAGATTTTAACTCAATTTTGAAATGTGGGGTTTTGGGGTTTTGGGGTTTTGGGG